TTGTCTCCTCGGTGTTCTGAGACATAATGCAACATGAATTTTTTTCAGACAATAATTATTAATAGGTTAAACAAAAATTTTAATTTCTCATCTACTACTATGGAAATAAAAGTTGTTGAATTTAAAGAAACTGAAAATGAATATCCAAACAAGTTAATTTAACGAATTTTGTCTTATAATACCTGCATAAAAATGGAATTACAAAGTTATGTTTCTTTATACAGACTTTCAGTTAGTTTTTAACCAAACATAATTATTAGTATGTAAGTATATTCCAAAGTCTTTATAATTACTAACAATTACAGAGATTTTGAATACACTTCAAACTTTTCCAATCGTATATCGCTAATTTAAGGTTTAATTTAGCAAAAAACGAGATAGAGACTCTCCAAGCTCCACCCCCCCTTATGCCTTGTAATACGCTGATTACCCAGGTACCACAAAGAGCTCAATAAGAATTCAGTGATATGTCATCAATTCTGAATTTATTTTCAGATGCAAAAAGAATTCTTCTTCTGAAATGTTCTCAAAAAAATTCATGTTGCATCCGAAAATAAGTTCAGAATTGATGACATCATTGAAATTCTTTTTGCATTCTTTTGAACTCTCTGTGTTTTTTGACAGTTCACAAGAAAATATGTTCTGCCACACATTACTAAAAATCTTCGCTTATTAAAAATAAATGGATACAATGATTTCCTTACAGAATAGTGGTTACGAAGAAATATATTAAATAATAACAAAATACATGCGTCACAGTAATTTTTTATATAACAAAAGTTTCTCGGGCATCAACTCTCCGAGATACACCAAACTTCATAATAACGGGATTTAAAAAAGTTTTATACTAAAAAATTTATTATATAAAATTTAACAATTCTTAATCTTCTGAATTTTCACAAAATTTTGATTAATTAAAAATCGGTGTTGCGCGTTCAGCATGCAAACCTCAGCTATTTTTATTAACTGCTACGAATATTATGTAAATATATTTCAAAATTTTTACATTAATAAATTGTTTTAAGAAGACAATATTTAGGAATATTAGAGAATATATACATATATAGTATATATGCGTCGTCAATGTAATCATAAAAATAATAATTCGTGAATCGTCTAATGTCACGCGTTAATATTCAAATTCTTGTTTTCATATTAATTATAATATTATGTGATTTTGTCATAATCGTAACAAAGGCAAGTAACAAAGGCGAAACAGTCCCGAATCTTTGATAAAACCATTCGTTATTTTACAAATATCTACTCATTAAAATTCTTTTATTCCGAGTGAAATCTCACTCTAATCTAAAGAGTGAAAATTGAATCTTTAATAAGATAGTCTATTAAACAAATAATTAAATTCAATAGACGAGATAAAGTAAACTATTAAGTCTTGAAGATTTATTATAAGATTTGCTTTTCTCGTTACTTTAATCGAGTCGTTCATAATATATGTATAATTTCGAATTTTTATGCGAACGACAACTATAAAGAGGGTCTGGGCGTTCATTTATTACGTCCATTGAGATCATACATATTGAGATCACGTATGAGATGCACGCTTAATTTTAATAAAACAATTTCAAAATACGAACAGCTTGTTTCAAGGAATCAGTACAATAAAACAAAAATTTAATTTCTATTTAAAGCAATTCTGATTCTCAATTTGAAAATATTGTTATTTTCTACATGTTACAATATTTCCTCTCTCTTAAATCATAATTATTATTATTGAATAACAACAATATATTCTTCTTGGTTTAATTAAAATTTTTTCATGTAAGCAAGTTGGTTTAACGCTATATAATCTTATTTCAAGATTTATAGTTTAAAAATAAAGACATTACCAATATAAGAATATTTTTTCTTCCCCTGCGTGTTTCAATAATTTAAAAAATTTTAGAATTTTATTAAATATTAAAATTGTATTAAATATGAAATGAGATGTAAAGCTACAAAATTTGTCAGTCCAACGGTATATTTAATACGCACAAGCAAACTATAGATATCGGTGTTTATATTTTTGGACAAGGAAACATGTATCTTCTTTCGACCTCTTAGCTATGATCAATTTTGAAATATTAAACAGTTCTCCGAGTAATAAGCAGTTAGTCGTAGGCAATCCATGATAGAGAACGGTGTTAACGAACATGGCTCAACAGCGACCAGAGGGTATAGTGCAGTTTTACAAAGAAGATAGATTAGATGCGAAGGGTAATCAGTTATTCAAATGTGAATACTGCAGACAAGATTCGAAGCCTAATTTTATCAATGATTACGTTAGAATGATATATCATTTAAATTATGTGCATAATAAATCAGAAATAATGGAAGACCCAAAATATCAGTCCGTAGCAGCAAGATTTAATCTTCATCGCCACAATGTAAACCAAATTGTTGGGGAATGTCTTGTTTCAAATTGTAACATGAAAATTAAAAGTATGTTTGGTAAAGCATTACCATTTGAAAACCACTCGATAATGCATCACACAGACGACAAAAAAACTGTTTTTTTTGCAAAAGCAGTAAAAATAGATTCTGGACGAAAAATACTGAATTATTACAAAATAGAGGACACCGAATATGCGAAATGCTCATTTTGTCGGACGCAGATACCTTTGGAAGGGTTGGATTCGCATCCTGCTGTGGTACTCGCGGCCTTAAGCAAACACTTGATCCCACATATTGGGTATGTAAAATATATTGTTCATATTTATCATTCTCAAAAGTATGAAAAGTTGATTTTATACATTTTGTTTATTTTGTTTTTACAATTTCGTTATTAATTCGAAAAACAGAAAAGATTTTGCAAATAGAATTGAAATTGAGCATTTCTTCATGAAATTAATGTTATATATAAATCAATGTTACATAAATTTCGTTGATATGTATATATCTTGTATAAGAAAATAAGTATTCAGTACAGTTTCTGTAACCATTATTTTGTCATACATGTCAATATATGCCAAGTATATTTTACTATGTAACATTTTAGATGTTTTGTAATACATTAAGTTCTGGGTAATGACCGTTATGGTAATCATATAATTTACATATATATATTAATACATAATAATTCCATGCCATATGCTCGTATTGCAGTCACTGGTAATCTACTAATCATTATAGACAATTAATTTAAAATTGACACGGAACATAACTATATAATACAAAAATTAATCAACTATATTTAATAATAATCTTATGGCTTCCACAGCAAATATTCGGACATACTACTAAAAGGAGAAGTACAAGAATTACGTTCCGTAGACGAAGCATTCATACAAAGTGAGCTAGAAAAAGAAGAAAATATGCAATTAGAAATGAACAAAAAAAAGCAAGATATTGATAAGGAAGTTTCAATGGAAGAGACTCTAAGTATTATAGAAACGGAAGATCTTAATACGCTACTGCAACGATACAGAATGAAATTAAATGAAGAAAAAAAAGAACTATGTTGTGAAATAAATGGAGCTCACCAGTTTACATATGATGATAATAAGTTATATTGCATAAGAAATCATTGGGAAATTTATCACGGGCCGAAAAATATGATTTACGATGAAATAAAGAATGTAACAATTATATCTAAGTTATTTCGAAATTACAAAATAACGGATGGAACATTAGCAACCTGCTCTGAGTGTGAATATTCAGAAAATTTGGAAAAAGACAATGAATTGTATGCTGAAATTTTGATAACTCTAAGAGACCACTGGTACCAAATCCATCGGTATAAAACGAATATTTTTTAGACACATCAAAACGAGCAAAAATTAATTGCGTTTTATTTGATTTATTTCTATAACTTTATAATAATCCGAAGAGACGATAATTGGTCTATGACTTCGGTTTTGTTCTATCAAAAAACATCTTATCATAAACATTTTACAAATAGTGATATAATCACAGAGTAACGAAAGTTATGGTATATCAAAGTTAAACACACGCATACGAACTTACTAAATTAAATCATCTCAAAAATGACTGCGGGATAATTACTTTCGGTCTTTCAATACATAATTAATGTGAAATATTATAATAATCCCAAATTTAGTTAGAACTTTAATTTCATGCTAGTATCTTAAAACCTGTAAAGAACTTATTGAGAATAATGTAACTTTTTATTATTTTTAAGATTATTTTATATAAAATACATACATATATATCCGAAGCTATAGACAATCGTAGGCAAACGAGACCCTTCTTTTACGTGTAGTAATTTAACGTTTAATTTTGATCATAATTGGTGTTACTTTGTAGTTCATCGATTTACTCAAATAAACGGTCTCATTTCTAATTTAAATATTTATACCGAAACATTTTTTTAGTAAAACTTTTACATATTCACAATATTATAAACGTGGAAATCAAGCTCTACAAGAAATAGTGCAAGAAATAAAGAAGAAAAGGCGAGAAGCTGCAACGCAGATATCACATCCAGCGGAGAGATATGAGATTCAAGAAGTACACAGTGTTGAGTAATTATTCACTTTTCTTATATCAAATAACTTTAACATGAAATGAATGAGGTATGAAACTTAAATATTAACTTCCAATAAAAGTATAATTCATATTAGGGTTAAGAATAATGTAATAAATTTTAAACTATGTTTCACGTTATTAACAAACTGATAAATTACAAAATATTTAAGCTTTTTTCAATTATACAAATATTAAATATTTCTTACATAATATGCATCATATTTCCTGTATGTGGAATATAAGCAAAAAGTATGATAAATATTAACATTTTCTGCTTATATATTGCTTATATACGGAATTTTTGATGGTAGATTCAATAATGAATGTATGTAAACGCAAAGAAGAGATCGCTAACAAACGTATCGCGACAATTGCGGTTTCTTCGTTGGTAACGAAATATTAGGGCGTATTTTGCATGCATGTATAATGTGCAATACGTTTACTATCAGAATTGCCCCTAATAAACAGTCATTCATTTATCTTAATTAAATAATTTCTCATTAGTTAGAACGAAAATGGCAAAAAATTAACTTCTTTGTTCAATTTAAATTGCTTCAACCGTACTTTAAATTTATGATCGGACACTCTAGCAGTATATCTGTCAACATTTGCATTATGTGATTTAGTTTCTATATATATAGCATTATAATTCAATAATCAATTTTAAAGACATTAATTTTATACAAATGTAAAACATAAATAAATTACAAATGTAAATGTCAACGAATTGATAATATCAATACTGTATCCAAAAAATGCAAATTTTAATTTGATAACAGGACGTACACTTTGAATTTACATTATTATGTATTTCATGGCATTTTTCTGTTTTTTAAATGGTACATAACAGTTTCTATCTTTTTAATAATATGTAAATAGGCCTGGACAAGACATTCCGAGTGAGGGTGTACCAGAGACACAAGAGACACCAGAAACACTAGAGTCTAGCGAAATACGAAGTACTACGACGCAAAGTTCTGCAACTGTGGAAAACATGCCTAAACAAAGCAGTGACAGTGGGGATATATCAGTCTCCGGCGAAACGCAAAGTCCTTTGTCTGAGGAACCATCATCAAAACAGATAAGATTAGATTCTGGTAATTAATCTCGCTTTGTTTATGTCACGTAAAGATAAATCTTACATATTATACAATTTGTAATAAATATAACTTCTTCTGATCACATAAAACTGGTTAACAGAATAAAATTATACAGAAAATTATAGAGAATATCTTTTGTTGTGTTGTAATTTTTGTGATAACTTATGAAACAATGAAAATTACAGATGTTATAGATCGTATTGAATTCGAAAAAAATTCAATCTCGCCGCTGATACAAGATATCTTTCTACAAAGGATATTATGCCATCTGTTTTAATATATTATTAGTTCAAATTTACTAATCAATAAAATGAAATATTTTTAAAAATAATCTTTTCAAATGAGTTTAGGAAGAGGTCAATTTTTCATTTCATCAAAAGTATCGATTATATAACTTTTTTTCGTAAGCCAGAAAGATAAAAAATAAAAACCTTTTTCATTGAAATTATCAAATTTTTTTGGTTTTTAAATTCAGTAATACAGAAAAAGATACATGATGATAGAGGAATTTTTTAATTAATTTAACTCGTATTATATGACTAGGAGAAGTGTTGCTCCATTAAAATTGGAGAATATGGCACTGTACGCATTGAAACATTGTAGTAGTGCCGGGAGATGAACAATTTCCCAATGTAAACTAGATTTCAGTTTTTAAAATACAATTCCTCTAAATTATTGTTATGAATAAACTTTTGACAAAACCAATTGTGATAAGATACT